CCCTAAACCCTAAAAACTAAACCCTAAACCCTAACCCCTAAAAACTAAACCCTAAACCCTAAACCCTAAACCCTAAACTCTAAACCCTAAACCGATGCTGCCTCCTGCAATGGCCGTCAGAGTTGGAACCAGCGCCACCGAGGCTGGTGACGAGGCGAGCCTCGAAGGCACGAGATTCTTGGGTCTTTTAGGGTTTAGGGTTTAGGGTTTAGGGTTTAGGGTTTAGGGTGTTTTTTAGGGTCTAGGGTTTGTAGGGTTTAAAGTTTTGTAGGGTTTAGGGTTTAGGGTGTCTTTTAGGGTTTAAGGTTTTTTAGGGTTTAGGGTGTCTTTAGGGTTTAAGGTTTTTTAGGGTTTAGGGTGTCTTTTAGGGTTTAGGGATTTTTAGGGCTTAGGGTTTAGGGCTTTAGGGTTTTAGGGTTTAGGGTCTAGGGTTTTAGGGTTTGGGGTTTACGGTTTTAGGGCTTTTAGGGTTAGGGTTTAGGGTTTAGAATTTTAGGGTTTAGGGTTTTAGGGCTTTGGGGTTTAGGGTTTTTTAGGGTTTAGGGTTTTAGGGTTTAGGGTTTTAGGGTTTAGGGTGTGCTAGGGTTTAGGGTTTAGGGTTTAGGGGGAGTTTCCGAAAATAGGGGACCCTAATATAGCACCCTAAATAGTAGGATCCTTGTTATAAGGACCCCCCAAATATGGCACCCCTTTATGTTCGGAAACCCTAAACCCTTAACCGCCTTAACCCCTAAACATGGTATAAAGTCGGGTTTGCTTCAAGGGTACTTTAAGGTTCCGTCAAGGGTTCTATGAGGGCTTAGGGCAAACCTTTTAAAGGAAAGCTCAAAGGATCCCTTTAAAGGAATCCAAAGAGACCCGGTTAGAGGTACTTCTCCCTTTAAAGGAATCCAAAGAGACCCCCTTAGAGGTGCTGATAGAAGCCTCGGAGCCCACCATGGAGTCTGAAGTACACAACGACGGTTTATGGTTTAGGGTTTGGGGTTTAGGGTTTGGAATTTGAGCTTCGGATCGTAGCAGTTGGGAATAGTATGGTGTGGTTGGAGTATAGCGCAGTATATGGGTATTTCTCTAAATCAGGGTCCTTTTTTAGGTTCCCATTATAGTGTGGCACCCTTGTAAAAGGGACCCCAAAAGGAACCCTAGTTTAGAAAACTACCCATATGGCTTATTCGGTGCCTGGACCCTGAAAGCTCTCGTGTGTTGGCTTCATTTTGAGAACCCTAAACCCTAAAACCCTAAAACCCTAAAGCCCTAACTAAACCCTAAACCCTAAACCCTAAAACCCTAAACCCTAAAACCCTAAACCCTAAACCCTGAACACTAAACCCTGAACCCTAAACCGCTGTGGGGCTTGGAGCGCGGAGGAAGTTCACGGTGTAAGGCTTTAGATTCTGCACAGGGCTCGGTGGACTCCGGTCAACAGAAGCCAAGTAATCCGAAAGGCATCTAATACCCGATAAAGGAGCCTGAACCTCGACCCCACCTCAACACCTCTAAAAACCTCTATAAACGCCATGTAAAAAAGCACAAAAACGATCTATCTATCTATCTATCTATCTGTCTATCTATCTATCTATGTATATATATATATATATATACGCAACTGTCAACCATAAGGCCAAGCACCTTTGTAAACAGCAACGACAAACGCCTCTAAGACCAAAGCCCTAAACCTCAAAACCATGCTTATACCCAAACGGTCCAAAGTATATAGGGTTTAGGGTTTAGGGTCGATTGTAAGCTTTCTAGATAAGGAATTACCACTCTGATTCGGGGAAGTATCCCCCAGAACAGTACCTAGGACCCTTGGGGATAGTACCCTTCGTAGCCCAACGGCTGAAACCCCCAACCCTAAACCCTAAACCCTAAACCCTAAACCCTAAACCCTAAACCCTAAACTCCATCAGACTCCTCGAGTCGAGCCCTTTAAAGGGCCCCTGAAAAAAAATCCTCGAAGGGCCGAGCGGCACCAGATATCCTCCCGCAGAGAGCGTTTGGGCGACCAACAAGGACACGGCTTTTGCTCTCCTTGTGGGAGAAGTCTCGATTTTGTTTGTGTTTTTAACTGGCTCGCTCAGAGATTTGTGCAGTTTCATAGAGTGTTACGATCTGCTATGGGGTTACAGGGGCTCTATGCCAAAACCCAAGCACAGTTTTACACGTTTAGGACTCCTTGCTATAAGTTCCTAACCTATGTCTAATGCCTCAAGCTCAGAATGGCTTGAGCTCTTGACTGCCAAGCGGCCCTGTCATCGAGGGCAGCGCCATGCCTTGCCGTAACGGTTTAGAGTAAACAAAACCTATAGAAAGGTGTCTTGAAGTGATCTTATGCGAGGTTTCGGGATTTTGTAACGGTTAAGTACCCTTAGGGTCCAATCATCCAAGCGTCATATTTACACTCCCTGAGCTCCAAAGTTATTACCCTCAGCCCAAGTACCTAAATATTTTTGGTCCTTCGGGCCGTTTGGGTTATAGGAATGTAGAAAGAATGCAGAAGTTCGATCTTAGACTTTGGTTTTAAAACCTGATGCAAACAGGCCTGCGTTTAGGGTTTCGGGTTTCCGGGCGCCGCATATTGGATGGTGACTACATTTGATATTTCTCGAAAACGACAGGTGATGTCGCTCTTTGCCTTCCTGTTTTTGACGCTTGACTAGAGTATCGGAGTAACCACGGTGTTGAGCGAAAAAGGACATGCAACAGTTATTAAGGGTCATGTCTTCTTTAAGGGCATATTGGTTACTGGATGCACCGTTGATCGCCCCATGTTCCCGATAAGGCCATGTTTTCTACACAGTGCTTCTCTTCCGCCCCACCACCGGTACTGGACCGGGTGCTCTTGGATCAACGATGTCTGACAAGCAACATGGAGGCTGAGAATTCTTGCTGTTACATTTGCTGTGACTGTGGCAATGCTGACGGCGTATGGGACCACCGCCGCTTGTCATCCGACAGCACACACACCGGGCAGACGACAACCTTGCCAAAACTTTCCTGTCCCTCCTCCTTTTCCCAAGCCGCGAGGTTAACAAAAACAAACCGTTTGGCTTAGGGTTTGAAGGGTTAGGGTTCGGGCATAGGACATATGGCCTAGGGCCTAGGGCGATCGCTTATAGGATTGTCCGTGCGAAATTGGTGCTTGCACGCTTGGGGAGAGACCTTAAAGCATTGGAGGAAACCTGGGCCGTAAACCCGAAACATCCTTAAGGATTTATAGTGTAGGGTTTAGGGTTTAGGGTTTAGGGTTTAGGGGTTTAGGGGTTTAGGGGTTTAGGGGTTTAGGGTTTAGGGGTTTAGGGTTTAGGGTTTAGGGTTCATCACTGTGACCAGCTGCTGGCCAGCAGGATTGCTGGTGGCGCAGCCAGTGGGAAGACACTGGAGATGGAGCCGATCTGCGCATCTTCCATCTTGTAGACATCCTCGAAGCTTTGGGGGGTTTGAGTTGAAGGTTTAGGAAGTCGAGGGGCCTTAAACCCTAAACTCTTTAGGGTTGAAGGCTAGGGTTGGGGAGTTTAGGCGCTTTACCTTAAGGACCAAATCAATTTCAACAGTCGAGGGCCTGAACACTTCTTCTGTAAATCCATAAGGTTTATAGTAGAAGCCAGAAAGTTGGAACATGATTCCCCTCATGTCCCTAAGCTAAAGCATAAGGGATTCTAGCACTAATCGTCCTAAACCCATGTTCCAACTTTCTGGGATTTGCTGTAGGGTTTAGGGTTCCTACAGAATAACTGAGGCTTTCAAGCCTTATGGGAATGTGGATGTGTTGGGTTGTGCATCCTCCATTTCATTCAGGACAACCTGAAACACAATAAGTGTAACCACAATCATCCACCTGTGACGCTCCAGTATGTAAGTACTGTCAGGGCCTTTAACATTCAAAAAGAGTTTGGGTGTAAAATACTGCTGAAATTGCAACAGGGCCCTCATGGAGTAGTATTGTTACCTATTCCGGCGTCGTACTACTGATTGGGGGCTTACCTGTTAAGACAAAAGCAGCTTAATGTTTGGCGCTTGAGTGTGTCGGGGTGCTTAGGTAAGCTGGTTTGACCTGGACAAGGCGGGTTTAGGGTGCCGTACTATTTTGGTTTTCCTTTTTTCAGAACTACCCAAATAGAGAAGATCAGCACGAATGATCCTGAGTAGGGGGTTTAGCGGCTTAGGGATTAGGGTTTAGGGTTTAGGGATTAGGGTTTCGGATTTAGAGTTCAGGGTTTAGGGCTTGGGTTTGGGGGTTTTGGGATTGCTAGATGAAGCAAGGTTTCGATTACTCGTTGGGGCCCGAACCCTAAACCCTAAACGCCTGTAACCCTCAACCCGAAACCCCTAAACCCTAAACCCTAAATCCTAAACTTACCCTAAGCCCTAAACCCTAAACCGTGGTGTGCGGACTGCAGATCCGGGGTCTACCGGGCATACCTGTGGGTAGCTTTCTAAATCAGGGTCCCTTTTAGGGTCCTTATTATAAGGGTGCCGTACTATATTGGGGACCCAAAACGCGACCCTGTTTTAGAGAATTACCTTAAAGCCCCAAAATAGTAGGATTCATATAAGAACCCTTAATAAAGGCATAGGATTTCTTAATCAGTGTGTGCGGACTGCGAATCCGGGGTCTACCGGGCATACCCGTGGCTCCCTAAACCATAAACCCTAAAACCTAGTTCACGTTCTGTATTGGATGACCTGCAGAGTTGGGATACTACAGACTGAGGAACTCATGGGAAAGGCGGGTGATTGTTTAGGGCTTAGGGTTTAGGGATGTTTAGGGTTTATAGGGTCCAGGGTTTAAAGGGTTTAGGGTTTAGGGTTTATAGGGTTTAGGGCTTAGGGTTTATAGGGTTTAGGGCTTAGGGTTTAAGGTTTCGGGCATACTGAACCTGTCCAATATCGTTCTTTTCTTGGTTGGAAGCCCGAAAGAACTACGCACAAAATTGGACCGTAGCAGCCAGATCTTCCAGTATCCCTGAATTAGGGTAGGGTTTAGGGTTTAGGGTTTAGGGTTTAGGGTTTAGGGTTTAGGTACAGACTATGCTAGATTCCTGAATATAGAGGATTTTGCAAGATCTGGGTAGGCTTGAGACACCTCATCTTTGACATCCAAGCATCATTGAGGAACTGCGGTAGCAATGCCACGAAATCAAAAGTCGGTGTAATCCTCGGATCGAGCCGCCGAAACCCGAAAACCGCTAAGCCCTAAACCCTACCCCCGAAAACCCTACTTCAACCTAAACCCAACCCCTGAAGCCGGCCCTAAACCCTAAACCCTAAACCCTAAACCCTAAACCCTAAACCCAACCCCCGAAAGCCTGCCGACAAGACGATAAGAGGCTGCCAACAGCGCGGGCCCTCCGTCCGAAACCCAAAAACCCCAAACCCCGAAACTCGAACTAACCCTTGAGGGTTTAGGGTTTAGGGTTTAGAGTTTAGGGTTTAGGTTTAGGGTTTAGGGTTTAGGGTTTAGAGTTTAGGGTTTAGGGACCCTAAACCCACAAGAAGGGTATCCTACTTCTCTTATGCATCAAGATAGGGTTTTTGACGCTGCCTTTTTTAGCCCGATAGCCGACGGTTTGGGATTCTTGGTTTAGGGTTTTGGTAGGTTTTTTTGGCATGATGTCCCAAAACATGTCCCGAGTAAATTTGGCTTGTTTGTCCTACAAATACCCCGACCCCTTCAGGGTTCCTTCCGAAGCTCCGTTAAGGGTTTCCTCGAGGGTTCCTATAACAATGCCATCACCCCGAAACTCTTCAAAAGCGTGAGTTCGTGATCGCCTGACCCCATACGTGTAGTTTGAAGGAGTCTACCTAGAGTCTCCATTGTAGTTCCTTTTTTCGGTTTAACCAGTTCTATGTTAAGGATCCTAAAAGGTAACCTCCAAAAGGAACTACAATGGAGACTATAGGTAGGTTCACAGGCACACCCTGGTCCTCTCTTTTTCTAGAGTACCTTTGTATCAGACACCACCCACTTAGGCAACCCCAAACCCCCAAAACACCCGACAAAAAAGCCCCAAACCGAAAAATCCGACCCCACCCCCCCCTCCCGCAAAAACGACCCGAGGCGCATGGTCGTCGAGGCAAAGAGTAGCCAGAGCTTTGGGGTGCGCGCCGCGACAGACAAGGCAGAGGAGATCGGAATCAGATCGCTGCCCCCCGGCCTTAGAGTTGCTTAGCCTGGGTTTTGGGGTTTAGGGTTCGGAGGTGAGTTTAGGGTTTTGGGTTTAGTGTTTTGGGTTTAGGGTTCAGAGTTTAGGGTTTGGGGTTTAGTGTGTTGGGTTTGGGGTTTTGGGTTTAGGGTTCAGAGTTTACTGTTTTGACAAACTGGGTTGTAGTTTCGGGGCCCTCAAAAGCAGTTATGAGGAGGTACCTACTTAGGGAGTGTACCGGTTTAGAGTCGTTCAGTGCAATGCGGAGCATGCATGAACACCAAGGGCTAAAAGATGTTCATATTATGGTGGATACTTACGAAAACCATGATTAACCATAGTTCCATCTAGAGTATTTGATACCATCTAAGTACTTAGGACCGTCTGGGACAGTAAGATTGCTACATGGAGTAAGAAGGACGTCTTGGCAGAAGAAGAGACCAGGAACAACATGCATGTATGCCATTCCTATACCCTCACTGGTACTGGAAGCTGCATGTCTTGGCTTTTTCTTGATGCCCTAAAGCCCTAAACCCTGAACCCTAAACCCCCTAAACCGACATGCAACACCCTTTTCATCTCACATGAACTAAGAGCTCTGTCTTTCTTTATCCTGTTGAGATCACGTGCACAACCATATCGCAAAGCAAGGAAAACACAAGACAACACCACAGAACTCTAAAACATGCTCTTTCTTTCCTTACACCACAAAGTAATACTTTTTCTTGGGGTTCTTTCAGAAAACTGTACGATAACCCTGTATGAACAAAATTAGTAGCAATGTCTTTCTATAGGCTTCCTTACCACGAGCCCCTCATTTTCAAAACAGACCAGGTGCTCTTTCTTGCCTTTCTCTGCAGCTATCGGCCGTCGCGGCTCGCAGCTGCGAAGAGCCACCAGGGACGTCACGACCCCGACCCCTCGCACACGTTTGGAGTTTGGGGTTTATGCGGTTTAGACGCTTCGGGTTGTAGTCTAGAGCTTAGGGTTTCTGGATTAGGGGCTTTAAGCAAAAAGTAGGGTAGGGGAACAGAGGGTTTGAATATGTTGAACATAGGGTCTGAATATCTCGAGTAGGGGTCATGTAATGGTGGTTACTTTAAGGGTCTACCGGGGTTTAGGGGTATGCTGCCCTAATGGCTATAGGGTGTGCGCGGACTTTGCAAACCCGGACCTGCGTAGGTCAGCAAGAGCTGGCGCCAGCTCTTCAATCGGCTCAACCTGAGGGATTTACTGTTAGGGTTTAGGGTTTTGAGTTTAGGGCTTATTGCAGCTGTTGGATATCAAGTGATACGGTGCTCCATACTGGCTCCGTTTAGGTTGCACAGTGGTCTTTTCGAGTTTCGCTGAATTTCAGTGTCGTTTACGTTTAGGGCGCTGATTTGCGGTGTTTTGAAAAATGTCGCTACGCAGTCTATCGGATCCTCACATGCAGTGGTGATTGGGGTTTCCAGTTGTTATGTATGGAACACCAGGCAGACCATGAACTAATCCTAATTATTCAAAGAAAAGCGCTGCAGTATGGGGTCCACACTCTGCATAGTAAGCCGAAACCTCAAACCGCGAAATCGGTGAAATCGAACCGCATCCCAAGACGGAATTTCCTAAACCCTGAACCCTAAACTCAAAGCACTTAGGTTTATAGGGCTTGGGGCCAAAAGCGGCCCCAGAACCCAAACCGTAAACTCAGACTCTACAGTATTTGTAAACCCCCTAAACATCAATGCGCACTAAACCCTAGCAACCTAGAACTACCATGTTCCCAATACCCCTCAACAGTGGAATATACCTTACAGTTTAGGGTTTGGGTTTCAGGGATGGAATATACATCAAAGTACAACAGAGTCCTGAACTGACACGCTTTAAGGTAGACTAGATTCCTCGATTATAAGGGATTTTGGAAGATCGCGGGCCTAAACCCCTACAGCCTAATCCCTAAACCCTAAACCCCTACACCCTAATCCCTAAAGAACTCTATAAGCTTTCGGGGATAGGCTAAGTACCCTTAAAGGGGAACCCTATATTCGAACCCAGCACCAATACAGGATTCCCCTAAAAGGAAGTCTTTCATACTAGGGTTTAGGGTTTAGGGTTTAGGGTTTGGGGTTTAGGGTTTAGGGTATACCCCCTAAACCCTAAACCCTAAACCCGAACCTCCAGATGCGACCAGGTCGCAGAAAGCCACCCAGCAGCGACCCCAGGGACGCTCCCACTCGCATGGCCACTTGGCCAACGCTCAGAGCCTCCGGGGACATGAAGCTCATATGGGTACTTGTCAAAATTTTGGTCCCTTTTGGGTACCCAAAATAATAGGTGCCGTATTATAATAAGGACCCAAAAAGGGACCATAATTTTGACAGCCACCCATGTGGCTCTTCAAGTACCGAAATGAGGGAGATGTACCCAAACCATGAACGTAATCCCTAGTAATTATAGAAAAGCCTATTGGAAAACCATCAACAACCGCCATAACAGTATAATTCCGAATATAGAAACCCTACTTCATACCATGTATAAGTACTATAGGAGCCGTAATGTTTAGAATAAGGCTTTGGTGTCTATCAGACCATAACTGTCAGAAGGAGCCCCCAAAACCCTACTTTAATTTGTTAAGGTCCCTAGATTACCCTGAGGGTCCAAAGGACCCAATAATGAGGTACTTTGGTTGCGGATAGTAGTTTTCTAGCTTAATATTTGGGAGAGTATATGATTATTAGGTACTTGGACCCTTAGGGTAAGGCTCAGAATAGCCCAAAAACCTTTTATAGTATGGTCTTTGGGCCCAAAAGACTTAAAATATGAGTCCTCAGAGCCTTAGGGTTGAGAGGGCTAGATTACTTCTGGGGAAGAAGTGATGAGGCTCGATTTCAGCCTCCAGGGGTTCCGGGCTGTCGGGATGCAAGGGGTCTCAGGAATAGGGTTTAGGATTTAAGATTTAGGGATTAGGGTTTAGGGCTGGGGTCTCAGGAATATGGTTTAGGATTTAAGATTTAGGGATTAGGGTTTAGGGCTGTGGTCATGAGGGTTTAGGATTTAGGATTTAACTTTTAGGGATTAGAGTGATTAGGGTTTAGGGCTGTAGGGATTAGGGTTTAGGGTTTAGGATTTGAAGTTTAGGGATTAGGGCTTAGGGTTTTAGGGATTAGGGTTTAAGGTTTAGGATTCAGGGTTAGGGTTTTACGGATTGGGGTTTAGGATTTAGGGTTTAGGGATCAGGGTTTAGGGTTTGGGGTTCACTATAAACAGCGGTGGGAACGCAAGCTTGCTTCATGTGTAGGGTTTAGGGTTTAGGGTCTTCATGCATAGGACTAATTATTAGGAAAACCCAAATTGCCTTGAAGCAGCTCAGTATTCGGACCCCTAATTTTCCATGCAGGAGCGCAGTTGCTGGCTGATCGCTATCGCCATCAAAGGCCTATTCGAGCAACTTTATAAGAAGCTTAACTCCCAAATGGTCCAAAGTACCTATATAGTAGAATGTAGGGTTCCTATGTTAGGAATTACCGTTATCATTTGGGGAAGTATCCCCCACAACAGTACCTAGGACCCTTTGGGACTATCGGCTCATCCCTCAACCCCAATTACGCACCTGAACTCGATAAATTATAAAATCCTGTTCAGGAGTCCTTCAAGGAAGCCTAAACCGAACAAAAAACAAAAAATGCCCTAAATCCTCAAACCCTATAAACCCTTACAGGAAGCCCTGCAAAACGATGGAAGGTATACCGTTCAAGGAAGCCCACACACCCCGCAGACCTTTGCATAATCCCTTCATTAGGGTATGTTTCCTAGAGGCTCCATATATACTACTATTATAACCACAATGCAGATGGCCTTTTGGGACCTAATTCCATAATGGTAGTCTATTATATAGAGCCCCTGGGTTTTTGCTGTTGAAAGCTCCTTTTTCCGTCTGCGGAGTCTACAGCCGAAAGGCCTTAAGACCAGGAGACGGGCCAACCTTTGACAACCCATGAAGGTTTAGGGATTAGAGTTTACCTTAGAGTATGCTGTTGTAGTAAGATCCCCAATATGATTTAAGGTAGGTTCCTTGATAAAGGATTAGGGTTTAGGGTTTCCTTTAAATTTATAGTAAGATCCCCCATCATGATTTAAGGTAGGTTCCTTGGTGAAGAGATTTTGGACCGTCTGGGCCCAACCCTAAACCCTCAACCCTAAACCCTTAACCCCTAAACCCTAAACCCCTAAACCCTAAACCCTAAGAGCAGCCTGCACCTGCCCACCGCTGGCGAAGGAGGTTTTGATGCTCACCTGGGTTGCAGCTGGGGGGGTTGTAGGGTTTAGGGTTTAGGGTTCAGGGCCTTAAACATGCTTATGACATAGGTACCTCTATAGACTATAGGAACCATGAGCCCTTAAACCTGTTTATGAAATAAGTACCTCTACAGACTCTGTCGGAGCCATAATAAAACGGGAAGTTAAAAGTTTCCCAAAGTGCCACCTAGTAACGGCTGCCGCCGTCCATACTGCCGCGGTGCCGAACCTGTCGGATGGCTCGAAGTTTGAGGGGTTTAGGGGTTTAGGGGTTTAGGGGTTTAGGGGTTTAGGGGTTTAGGGTTTAGGGGTTTAGGGGTTTAGGGTTTAGGGGTTTAGCGGCTTCGGTTTGAGGGGTTTAGGGGTTAGGGGGTTTGAGTTTTGGGACCTTCTTGGGCTCGCTGGGTTCTGGAAGGCTTGCCCTAAACGTGCTACAGAGGTTTCCAAAAAAAGGGTCTTCTACTGGGGTTTAGGGTTTAGGGTTTAGGGTTTATAGTGGTGCATGAAGAAGGACAAAAAATCCTGAACAAGAGCCCAGAATGGGACAAGATGGTGTTGAGAGACTGTGGTGTCGTGGTCTCTTGGTGCTTCGGAATAGCGATGTGCATAGGGTTTAAGGCGCATGGCCATCATGGTCCATACAATGTACCAGCCTTCAAGGGGCCTTTTATGTAGTAACTTCTATCAAAATGTGCGCTTCGAACCTGAGTCTGCTGTGTTTTTCTCCTGGTTCCCCAGCAAGCCCCGAACAGTAATGGAGCGCTCTTTAACCTCGCCCTAAGGGTCCAAGTACCTAATAATCATATACTCTCCCAAATATTAAGCTACCAAAGTACCTCATTATTGGGTCCTTTGGACCCTTAGGGTAGGATTCAGTAGAGGAAACACGCCGGGAACAGAATGCAAAACGGGCGCGACTGGCGGATCTGGTTGCAAGACAACCCAGAGAGCCAAATGCCACCGACAAAAAAAGGTGACATCCCGTAAATCCGCTCTATAATACAACCCCGTAGACATCCGATAACGCCCAATAGGTGAGTACAAAACCGTACGAAGCCCTATTGAAAACTCTCATTCCCCATGGCGCCTATAGTAGGAATTACTGGTATGGCTTGGGAAAGTATCCCGTATAACAATGCCTATAGGACCCTGTGGGGTTTTGGGGCTCTCCTCTTTCTGAAACCCTATAAACCCTAAACCCCTAAAGTCTAAACTTAAATTAAACCCCTAAACCCTATAAATAGAAACCCGTATGTATCCTTTACAACCCCATAAAACATACCAAACCCCTACCAAAACCCTTACTGTAGGTGCTTTAATAATTAGAGTAGGACTTTGGGAGCGGTCCTCATCACAATCATAGTATAAGATACACCCAAGACCTATTCTAATTATTAAGGCCCCTTTTAAACCCTGAACACAAACGAAGGCCCCCATAATATTAACACCGACCCTAAACCCTAAACCCTAAACCCTATAAGCCTTAAATCCCAAACCCTAAACCCTAAACCCTAAACCAACCAACCAACCTAAACCCTGGTAACCCCCAAACCCCACAAACCCTTGGTGGCTCCCGCCTCGAGGCCGCGAAACTCGCCGAGAGCGCCTTACCCGGCCCGGGGACGCGGGCCATGCCGGCGAAGCTGCCGGCGAGGAGCCTTCGGCATTGGGGCTTTTTTTTGGCGTTTAGGGATTTAGGGGTTTATGGTTTGGGTTTTGCGTTTAGGGTTTGGGGTTCAGGGATTTAGGGGGGTTAGGGTTTGGGTTTGGGGTTTAAGGTTCAGGGGTTAGAGTTTGGGGGGTTTAGGGTTTGGGTTTGGGGTTTAGGGATTTGGGTGGTTTAGGGTTTGGGGTTTGGGGGTCGGAACGCAGCATTCCAAAACCAAGGCACTCGCGACCTATGCGATTGTGTTGATCGAAGTTAATTGCAGATCGTGGGTCCTCCCGAAGGACCTGTCGCCCAATTCTCCAAACCCCAAACCCAAAAGCCCTGTGCCGGATTGGGAAGTGTGGAAGATGTACGGCTACGATGTCAGAAAGAGTGGCTGGCTCCCGGCTAGGGCCGCAATCTTTTACCCCTCGACCCCAATCAATGCCCTTCGACGATTGGGTAATATATCCCCGCAGAATCGCTGTATATGTATGGCAAAATATACCCCGGTACCGGTTGGGGGTTTAGGGTTTTCGGGTTTAAGGTCTAGGTTTGGGGTTAAGGACAATTACTGCTGGGGCTGCTGGGGTTCATTACTGTTCAGGATAGAGGCTATTGGGTTTCCAACGTTTGGGCTTCTGCTTTAAACCCTAAACCCTAATCCTCAAACCCTAAACCTGGGTCCAATATCGACTTCCTTATGGGTCTCAAAGAGCTTTCGGAATAGGTTCAAGGCTTTTGGTTTCAAGGGCTTTCGGAACCAGCTAACAAACTCTATGCCTATGGGTCCATGTAGTGTCCCTGCCTGGCTGATGTGGCTTGGGGTTGGGGGGGGTCTATGCTAAACAGATATTCGGGAACTGTATGTAGGATCATTGCTCGTTCTTCGGGCTCGGATCTGGAGTTTATAGTGATTATTGTACCTCTGAACTTCAAAAGATTGCCGATGTGTATACGGAACTCAGAGGAGCATTCAGCAACGGTTTTGGTAGCTCTTTGCAGGGTTTGGAGCTTAGGGTTTAGGGCAAAGGGGTTGCCACGAGGGGTGAGGTGGCTATTATCAGGGCTCAGTGTGGTTGACTTTAGCAGAGTTCGGGGGTGCAGGGGCTATAAGCTGTTGTAGGGTGTTGGGGGTTGAGGTAATTCTATTTAATCATGATCCTGAAGGATATAGGAATCCTGAAGGAAAAAGAATCCTTATTATGACCTTGTTCTTAAACTAGTCCTGCTTACACCTCCGAACATATGGGTATCTCTCCCGTTTCCTTGTTCGGGCACCCCAAATAGCACGGCACCCTTATGAAAAACCCTAAACCCTAAACCCTAAACCCTAAACCCTAAGACCCTAAACCCTAAACTTAGAAACAAGGATCCTAAGCAGGGCCTCTAAATTCCACTTCGAGAACGAGACTTCTGGAGCCGAAAGTAGCGTCTCTATGGTAGGAGCTGTTCTAATGATTTGGGAAAAGTATCCCCCCATAACAGTGGTTGAGGATTTTGGGGCTTAGGGTTTATCAGGTTTAGGGTTTAGGGTTTGGGAGTTTGGGGTTTATGAGAACCCTAAACCCTAAACCCTAAATTAGGGTTTATCAGGTTTAGGGTCTATGGGGACCCTTTGGGCCTGCAGCCGAGGCACAGCAAGATGGCGAAGAGGGACCTCATGCCGCCGATCGCATCCACAGCGGCCCCGCCAAGGAGCTTGCCCAAGGCGTAGGCGAACTGACCTTCTGAAGGGTTTGGGTTTAGGGTTTAGGGTTTAGGGGTTAACTTCTCAGCGCCAAAAGTTGCTAAATATCGGGGCCGGAAGAATGAGAATAGGGTTCCTTTTGAGTTCATCAAAGGTTACTATGAAGGCTCTATGATTCAGGGGCCTTCAGAATAAGAATACGGAATTATATGGTTAATTATTTGGCTTCTATACTACTCAGCCCTAAACCCGAAGCTCGAATGCCTAAACCCTGAACCTTAATCTTCAGTCGACACAGGCACCCAGACTTCGCTGTCCTAGACTTGAGTGGCCCGGTGATGCAAGCGAGATATAGGGTTTAGGCTTGAGGGCTTGTTTACAAGGGTTGTGGGGTATATGATAGTACTCATAGTCAGGAACCCCAAAGAATGGTATTGGTAATTCTTCCGACTTGTATATTATGCCATAAGACTGCAAATCCGCATGAAAGTGTTGAGCGGCGGCGTAGAGGTGCTGGCTTAGGGTTTAAGGTTTCGGAGGGTTTAGGGTTTAGGGTTTAGCTAGACTCCGAAGGCATCGAATTCCCAGGGCATGCTGTGCAGCCTGCTCTCAGAAACCTTGGTGCAGAAGCCTATGCAAACATAAATTTGAGAGTGTTGCGTCAGAGTCCTGATCTTGAAAGAATCATCGCGCTGCTTGTTGAGGTCTTTCATTGGCTCTATGGATGTACCGAAACTTAAATCCTACGAATCCCATAAAGGGAGAAAGCACTCAGCTGTCAGCCATAAAGAAAACCAGGACATCACCCTCTGCTCTAAACCCTAAACTCCAAAGCCCTAAACCCTAAAACCCTCAAGCCCTAAACCCTAAAACCCTAAAACCCTAAACCAAAACCCTCAAGCCCTAAACCCTAACACCCCAAACCCTAAACCCTAAAACCCTAAACCCCCAAATCCTGAACCTTTACAGCAATAAACCGCAAGCCCTCAGACAAGCCCTGGCCCAAGCGCTTCGAACTCCGAAGCGGCACAGACAGTG